GGGTTTCATGTAGTGATGTACAGCAGATCACCATGTCTTTTTCCTCAAATAAGGCACCGGGATTAGATAAAGTCCCAATGAGTATTATCAAAGATGCCTTACCATGTATCCTCCCTGCGTTAACAGATATTGTTAATTGTTCATTGCTTACGTCCGAATATCCAACATTATGGAAGATGGCAGAAGTTGTTCCCCTCTTAAAAGATGGGGATCATGAGATCGCAGACAATAATCGTCCTGTGTCTTTGCTAATTGCAGTATCAAAGATTTGTGAAAAAGTTGTATTAAATCAATTGACTGACTATATGTCACAAAGGAAAAGATGTACTGAACACCAAAGTGGCAATCAAAAATTACATTCTACAGAAATATTAAACATTTTTATAACAGATCAAATCTTGCAGTCTATGGATCGTGAAGAAGTTACGGTCTTAGTTTTAATAGACTTACCCAAAGCATTTGATAGCATAGATCATTCAATTCTACTAGTGAAACTTCAAACCATTGGTGTGTCTGAATCAGTGTTGGCATGGTTTAAAAGTTATCTATCGGGACGAAGCCAAATAGTACGTATTGGGTCGACATTGTCGGAAACATGTATTATAACTCGAGGGGCCGGGTACCTCAAGGATCTATTCTTGGGCCGGCATTATTTAACATATATATTAATGACCTACCCAATGTTCCAAAAGAGTCCTATTTGCATGGAATCTTATGTGGATGATTTGAAAATCTATCTGGCATTTCCAATTCAGAATATTGAAACTGCTGCGTTTAAACTTACACAAGATATGGAAAGAATTACCGCATGGTGCTGTATAAATAGTCTGCTAGTGAATCCAAAGAAAACGAAACTTCTATTACTGGGTACAAGTCAAATGCTAAAAAAACACTCTGGCACAGATTTCCATATAATTGTTCTTGGTGAGAAAATAATCCCACTTTAGACGGTTAAAGATTTGGGAATGACTTTGGATTCAAGTTTGACTTACGACAAACATATTGTCGATACCGTCTCAAAATGTATCACTGAATTATGCCAAATCAACAGAGTTAAGCATATTTTCGACAAACACACTTTATCTCTTATTATAAATGCACTGGTCTTCAGTAAAATGTATTATTGTTCCTCCGTTTGGTCGAACACCTCGAAAAAAAATATATCAAAACTCCATAGCGTGCAGAACTTCGCGGCACGCGTTATTACTGGAATCAGAAAATATGACCATGTGACGCCTATCCTTCAGCAATTAGCTTGGCTTCCAGTTGAGTGTATGTTAAAACTCAGGGATGCGGTTATGACATTTAAGTGCATGAAAGGGTTAGCTCCGCCATACTTGTGTGACAAATTCGAAATGAGATTAAAGATCCACAGTGTTAACACCAGAAATAAGGCTAAGTTAGACATTCCACTGTATAATTCGGCTTCTGGACAGCGAGCGTTTCATTATCGCGCAGTGTCTATTTGGAATGAGCTCCCAAATCATATTAAAGACATTGACACTTTGGACCTGTTTAAAATAGAATATAAACGTCATTTATTGCATGGATTTTTAGAAAGTAGTTAATAGTTTTAGACAATTTGGACTTGTTTAAATTAGCATATAAACGTTTTTACTGTATGGATTTTATTAGGAAGTAGTTAATCATTTTAAAGTGAGATTACTAATAATTATAAAATTTTTAATTTGTGTTTGTATGTATGTACGTATGTTTGTGGGTGTGTATATATATATATTGTTTGTAGTATATAAATAATTTTGTAATTACATGCTGAAAAGCCCTTTTGGGAGCAGGCAATATTGTAATAATAATAATAACTAATATACTCAAAATTTCTGTCAATTTTTGAAATTGTGTTCCATTACGATTGACGAGCAAATAGTCGCACCTGGGTTGCAGCAATGGTCTAACATAGCGAGCGTAATTGTCAACAACATCCAAACTTATTTCGTCAAAATATAAGGAATCAAAGCCATATTTGTTTTGCAGTTTTGAATGCGGTTTGATCCACCATTCCTTTATTTTGTTTTGCACTCTCAAACATGCTAACGGTCAAATGCAGATAAGTCATAGGCCTACAGCCTTTAACTTTGAGCTTTAAAAAAAACATAAATACTGCTAGGAAACGGGTAGCAAATGTAAGATTTGCCCTAACAACCGGTGATTTGTTTTTGCATTCGTCCAGCGCTGTTACAGTTACATTTTATTTGTAACTAGTTACAGTTACAGTTACGTTGCCAGAAAGGTAACTAGTTAGCGCTACAAGTTACAGAAGGCAAATTATAACTAGTTACAGTTACAAAGTTACAATATATTTTTTGTAACTAAGTTACAAGTTACAAGTTACAAGTTACATTTTATATTGATTAAAATTATAATTTAGACTGACTGAGTTACTCACTGACTTTACTGTATTTTCACCCAATTATACAATACAGCAAATTTTTCAAAACTAGCTTTGTACTGAATGCAGCAACCATACAATACAGTCAGAACAGATTTAAACAAATTCTTTATTCACAAATCACAAGATTGCAAATTTCAAAGTTTCCAACTGTCATACTTAGCATATATTTATCTTTTACATATAAAATTTGTATCTATCACATCTTCAAAGATGGATGCAATTTTCACCAGGATGCAATTTTCAAAATTTGTATCCGTCATGCTTGAGCGATGTGGCCTGAAGATCAATCCACCAGCACTAAAAAGTCTTTCACAAGCAGCACTGGCTGGCAATGGTGTGTTGAGCTCAATAAAGAGTTTGCGAAGCAAGGGCCATCTTGCATAATCACAAAGTTTTTCAACAGGACTCTCAAGAAATGACTTTAAAGTACAATCACTTGATCTCCTGTTCTTAACTTGGAAGAAATTTGTCTCATCTTGATCCTCTGAAGAGGACTGTCCAGGTTCATCAACTACTGGTTCTACCAAACCCTCTAATTTCTCATTTATGAAGGAAATGCCTAAAATTTATAAACAAATCCCACAAGTTTAAATAAATCCATGCTGTCTATAATGGGAATCCTTACTAATTCACTTCATATTCAAGTTGTATTGTATTTGTTACCTCTTTCAATAACATCACAATCAGTAGACCAGCTTTCTTTAAATTTGGGGTGAAGAATTACAGCAGCAATGATCTTTTTGTCATTTAGTATTGAATCAAATCGCTTATCAATTCCATTTAATAATTCTTGGACCAATGGTTTCGTAATTGGAACATCCAACTTCTTTGAAAGCTTATCTCTCAGTATAGTTATCGTTGGTGCTAGATAACCCATGTATGCATTCGAGTGGTTTGTTTCTCCCTGTAAAATGTTAAGTGCTTGAGCCACTGGTTTCATCACTTGAGCATAATGATTAAGGAATGAAATTTCTGCAGGTTTAAATATAAACAGAAACAAATACACTTAGCTAGCTCACTAAATTCTACTATGTCATATGCTGAGTGTTTAGTGTATATGTTCGTAAATCATAATTTCAGTCAACCATCCCATGCACAAAGTTACAATTATAAAGGATACTGTACTTAGGAACATCTGCCAAGGAGCAGACACTATGAATGACATTTTCTCCTTTTCCCTTGATGATTCGATTGATGCGTTGGACAGTCATAAAAATGGAATTCCATCGAGTTGCATTTGGTTTGATCAAACTTAAGCCACACTTTTCTTTAACCATTTCTGCAACTTGAACAGAGCGGGAGCTCTTATTCCAGAGGCTGGAACACTTTGCAAAGGTACTCCTGCTAAGTCGTTTGTAGTTTCCATCAGCCTCAGCTTTCTCTGCATCAGATGTTGAAATAAGATTAAGAATATGTGCTGCGCAACGTTGATGTGGTGGAAGCTGGTACTCCAGACCTCCCCTCGCCTGTGTTAATCATCAAAAACATCTTCAAACTGACACTCTTCATCTTTATCTGGATCATCATGATTGTCTTGTTCTTGTTCAGCAAAAACAGAGAAGGCTTTTACGAAGTTTGATCCATTGTCTGTTGTGGTTTTAGAAACTTTGGATCTTATTTCAAATTCAATATGAATGTCTTCCAACTGGCTAGCAAGTACATCATATGTGTGTTTACCTTTGAGACGCCGACAAGCAAGAACACAACTTTTTCTCTCCAAAGTCTCGGGATCAATCCAATGTCCAGTTACACCAATGAATGAACGGCCATGAGCACTCCAGCAATCCGTAGTTGTTGCAACATGTTCAACTTTATCCATGGCTTCTTTTAAATTTTTCTTCACCAGACTGGCTTTGTCACTGATTCGCCGTACCACTGTAGCTCTGCACATTACTGATCGATTTGGTTGAAGTCCTAACACAAATTCTTTAAATGCAGCGGCATAAGAGCTTCTGTCATGAACTTGATCAGCAAATCATCCACTTGGGCTTGAGTAACCAAATTGGCATTGTATTTAACTTGAGAGGAAAGCACAGCATCCAACATTTGTTGTTTAGGAGCAGATGGTCCTCCACTGTCTCTGGCATCACTATTACTCCTTTTCCTTGAAGGCATTTTTCTTTTAGTTTTAGCCTCATCACATAGCTTGTTGAAGGCAGATCATTTATGTTGATGAACTCTCTAAAGCGTTGAATTATGCAATAATACTATTAAACAACAGAATGGAATATCTTTCATAATCAAGGGGTCAGATATAGGGAGTTGAGTGCCCCAACACAATAAACAAAATGTAACTGACCTGTTCACAGCATTACTCATTCTGATGGGATTTTTATTCTTGAGAGGACATATAACTGATAGCAGTCACATTCCGTCCCCAGAGTTCGATAAATAGTATTAGCTCAATAATAGTAATGGGGAAATTATACAACATTATATGTTATGTTATACATATTTAAATAAAATAAAACTATTCATAGTTATTTGTAACTAATTAGTAATTATGAATTTATGTTTGTTAAATTTGGAAGATCCCTACCTTGACGTGTGTGCGCAAATTCGACAAAGAAGACAAACTTGAACTGCATTCCTTGTACTTGGGAGCACAGAGTAAACAGGTTACCTTCGCATTCGTTTTGCTTATTGACTTTATAGCAAACATATCGGAAAGATATAGCCACGGGTGGCCCACGTTGACGTTCTCATTTGTTGGTTCTGGCTCTTCGTCTTCCCTCTGTTCAACTTCAAGAATTGAAATATCTTCTGTAACAGAATCACCATCGTCGTTCGACATATTTGCGAAATTATAATATTAAATGCGCGCTAGTGACTAAGTCACGTGACGATAAGCGCGCGAGACATTGACAGGCCGGGAATAAACGAGGCATTCCGATTAGTTCCGACGTGTTGGCAAAACGTAAACAGGGCGCACATATTTGCATTATTTGAACTGAGGATGCGATGTCGGGTCGACGATTCAAGCCAAAAAAGTAACTTGTAACGATGTTTGACAAATTTGTAATCGTTTGAATTTTTAAGCTATTTTTGTAACTAGTTACCGTTACAGTTACATGTTCCCAAAATGTAACGAGTTACCGTTACAGTTACTGGAAAATGTAACGATTACTTGTAACTAGTTACTTGTAACGAAGTTACTTACGGCACTGCATTCGTCCAATATAATCTTATAACGTGGTATATGGAAGGGTATTACAGTTTGGAGTTCGGCTAAGCTTTCCCAACTCCGTCTTGATTCAAGTGTTTCTGTGTCAAGATCTGTCGTCCAGTGCGACCTCATTACTAATTTGGCAAACACTTTTTTGCTCTTTTGATGTAAACTTCAGTTATATACAGAGAAATTTTGCAGTACGGCGCCAGAGGGAGAGTTAAACTTTCGAAAATCTAAGCTCGGATATGCTTGTTATGTAACCTAAATTGGCCGGAATTTCCCATTTTCTAAGTACCCTGAAGATAATCAAGGAATCCTGTTAACAACTTCGAGCAACCAGGAAAATAAATAATAATCTATAATTTCTATAGAGGAATTGTTCCTCGTCTGTTTCCGAACAACAAAATGTTATAAACTTGAGAGCCCTTATCACTGAAATTTGTGATTGCTTTTCAGGCTTGCCGCTCCCAGCCGTACTTTCTAACCAGACAGAAAGGGAGCGAGATAAATCATTTTCCGTAGAACAACATGGTATTGTATGCTTGGTTTTTTATGTGATTACATCGGCCTTTTCTTCCACAGTATTTGAAATAACAATAGGATTTTCCAAAACCCGATCAATTGATCGAAGTACTTATACCAAGGGCAAGGCTGCTTTTCGTAAACATGGTTCCTGCAACCGGGACAACTGCTAAATCCAGGGTGTTCGCATCCATTTACAGGACAGTGATATAAGTCATTCTTGTCTCGTTCCAAATTCCGTCTTCTTGGTTTCTTGAAAGCTCCATCAACTGATTTCTAATCCACAGTTCTAGCATGTTGTCGTGGCATTTAAAAGTGAACCAAGACCGGCTGAGTGGCAGCCTATAAAACACACATTAGACGTTGTACATTACATAAACTCATTCGTGCATATAACGCTTATTGTTGCACCGTACAATACGTTTTCAAGGTAAATGTATCAAAGACATAAAACTATGCCAGATAAGTGTTCTCTGGCTCTACAATTGTTCCAGCGCACATAATTATACACTTTTAAATATTTAAAAAGCTATATAAGCATACCTCGAAGCGTAATTGAAATAAGTAAGATGAAACGCGTTGGTACGCTAAAAGCTATATAGATATATGAGTATATGAGTACAGATCTTTAATGGAATATTACCTTACAGAGTCATGTTATCAAATTGGTTGCTGTTTATCATCCGCCTTCGTCGACTGCACTTTATGTACTTTCTAGCTTGTCCTTTGAGGAATTTTCCATCTATCTCGAAAGCGATGTAACGTCAACTGAGCTGTTACTTATTTCGGGCGACTTCAATTTCCATCTGGATTCCGCTGAAGATAATAACACTAATTAAGAAGTTCTGCGAAATCTTGGAAACATTTGGTCTCACTCAACATGTTACTTTTTCCACTCATAACTCAGGACATATTCTTGATCTTATAATTAATCACGAGGTCAGTTAATGACGTGCTAATATCCGAGGTCGAACCCACTCTGACTCTGTCTGATCCTATGACTGTCAAATGTAAGATAGCCATTCCTATTTTAATTGTTAAGGAAATTCGTTCACGAAATTTCAAGCAAATTGATCACCAGGCGTTGAAAAGCGACATTTCGTCATCTGACTTGTATAATAGATCTTGGACTAATATAGATGAACTTGCAAACTGTTATAACGAATCTTTGTTGGAAATTCTTGACAAGCATGCACCTTTAAGACTATGGAAAGAATTGATAGACCTATAAGATACCGTGGTTTACTGATGACCTTAAAAAGCTGAAAGCTGGACGTCGGAAACGAGAAAGGAAAGTGCTTCAGTCTGGACTGGTCTGATAAAGAAGTATATCATAAAATTAGAGACAGATACAGTGTTCTTCTTCAGAAAACAAAGGTCTCCTTCTACACTGAAATGATTGACCAATGCCCATGAAATCCTAAGAAATTATTTCGTATTGTCAACTCGCCGTCCAAAAACCATCAGGATAAAGCATTGCCACCTTATGAAGATCGGTGCACCTAAGCTGAGAACTTTGGACAATTTTTCTATCATAAGATTGAACTTATAAACGAGAAGATTGATAGAATAGATGCAGTCCCTCTTGTGGTTGAACATCGCTTTCCGGAAGTGAAGTTTGAATCTTTTTCTACGGTGTCAGATGATGTAGTATCGAACATTATCATGTCATCGTCGAATACCTCTTGTCAGCTAGATCCAATACCATGCACTTAGTTGCTTAAGAGTTGCTCTGATGTTTTGTCTCCTATTATCACTCGTATGATAAACTTGTCTTTGGTGGAAGGGATAGTTCCTGAAATTTGGAAATCTGCACTTGTATTGCCTTTGCTTAAGAAGCTCGGTCTGGATTTATTGTTTGAGAATTTTAGATCTGTAAGCAATCTCTCTTTTGTCTCCAAGTTAACTGAAAAGGAAGTGGTGGGTCAATTGTTAAATCATTGCAATGCTCCATTGCCTGTTAATCAATCAGCCTATCGTCAGTTTCATTCTACGGAAACTGCTCTTCTCAAAGTACAAAGTGATATCCGTAGTAACATGGATAATCAAGAGGTCGTACTACTTGTGATGCTTGATCTCAGCGCGGCTTTTGACACCATAGACCATAGGATTTTGTTGGATATTCTCGAAAAATATTTTGGTGTGATTGGTAATGCTAAGAAATGGTTCATGTCCTTTCTCTATGAAAGAAAACAGCGTGTTGTTATCAATCATTGCAAGTCACTAATACATTGAAAACCAAGACAATGCTCATCCATTCTCCCCAACAACTTAAGAATACTTCAGACCGTTCTCTATCAGTTATTTTTAATGGCAACATGCTTGCACAGGTGAAGCAAGCAAAAGTGTTGGGTTTAACGCTTGACGAGTTTTTAATTTGGACCAAGTCACCAAGCATATTGACAACTTGTGTTCAACAATTAATAGTAGACTTGCTTTATTACGCAGGATTAAACCCTTTTTAACTAAGGACTGTGCTCTTCGTTTCTATAACTCTTGTATTAATTCAAGTCTTATCTACTGCTCTGTAACTTGGGGAAACTGCTCAAAAACACTTTTACTTCGCATTCTTCGACTGCAAAAGCGTGCAGCACGTATTATTCTAGACGCTGACTTTTCTACTCTTTCTGTTCTTCTTTTTTCCCAGATTCGAATAATCCCAATCTTTGATCTTGTTAAATTTAGGAAGCTTCTCTTACTAATTAACATTCTCACAAATCCCAGTGCTCCATCTTCATTTAAGCAAATGTTTAAATTCTTCCATTCTTTTTAATTGCTTAGATAGCGATTGTAAGCAACTTGCTGCTTCGCCATCTTGCTCTTCATATACTAACGCCAAACAAAAAATTCGTAAAATCTTTCTTAGTTAACTAGCTTAACCTTACTAACCATATCGAAGATCTATTTTGTATAAATTGTAAATATTTACTAAATTGTAATTGTATTCATTACTATTTTTTTTTCCTCATATGTAAATAGTCGTAATCTTTAATACCCTTTATGCCTGTAAATATCAAAACAGTGCGAGGGCCGTATGCTAGATAACCCCTAATGGTTAATACGTTTTCCCTTGTGAAATAAAGTTTCTATTCTATTAAGTCATCTGCATGCTTTTGACATTCGTGCTTCGTCTTCGGTCGACTGTTTCAAGAGACATCTTAAAACATTTCTTTTTAGGGATGCGTACATTAGTAGTGTTTTTCATGTAGACAATTTTAACTTTCAATTAACTGTGAATAATGTGTAAATATAGTCTAAAGTAATTTTACGATTTTATATCTCACTGTTTGTACCCGGCTAGCGCTTTAGAATATTTATAGTGTAAGCGCTTTATAAATTTTATAATATGTTATATTATATTATAAATCAAAAGGATTGTGCTCTTGTAAGAGATTGGGCATCTCGAGTCAGATTAGTTTTTCTAACATTTAACTGGCTTACGGGCTATTGATATAAATGCCAAACGATCGCGACGGGCTGCCTGTCAAAATAACGGGCTACCTCATGCTCGTACCCCAGCATCGAAGGATAGGTTTCATTGAGCTCCGTGTTGGTGGGTTCCTCCTCAACTTTTGATTTCAAGTTTGAACAAACACTTGTGATGCAGGAGAAATAGAAATGCACTCCTATCGCATTAATGGCATTGTCCAACAGCAATCTTTTAGAAGTTATTTGGAATCTTGCAAGCTCTATATCTTCGTTGCACACACGCCAAGTAGCACGGCATGCGATTGCTCTCTGCTTCTCTGCTCGTCTCTTATCTAATAAATGTTAACAACGAGACGTAATTATTACACTTACATGAGTAGAAAAAATGGCATTGTAAATGAAAAACAAACTTACCAGACTTAAAATGTTTGCGCTTAAAGAGTTCTGTATTCGTTTGGAATCCAGCTGTTTACGCGGTTTTGGAGGCATTTTTAACTAAAACTATTTTACATTATCATCATCATCGTCATCGTCATCGTCATCCTCATCGTCATCCTCATCTTTATCATTATCATTATCATCATCATCATCATCATCATCATCATTATTAATATACTCATAATTGTAATGTTATATACAATTACAATATTACAGATCGTGTTCGTTCGTTCTTTTAGCTGTGTTTTATGGTATAGTGATAACAGGCTGTGCTTTCGTCGTCAAATACTTTGGTGCATTGGTATTACAGGTAGATGTCGTTCATTTGGTTGTAGTGAAATTAATACATTTTCTGCCATAGAACACAATTACCACATTGGTCAGGTCTGGGAACTTACCGCCAGTAAGTGACTGATAATGATACAATACCCCCAAGGAATGCTATATAAAAAGTCCCCGCTTGAGAACGGATATATCAAATGTCATTCTCTCAAATTGGTGACTCCAAAGACGTAGGGGGTGGGAGTATGGCTGTAGCTCCCAGTCAGATTTTATTAGTCGGGCAGATTCTACTTAAAATCGGGCAAATTGGCAGGCCTCGGTATAGTGTGTATTTTCATTATATTAATATTGATTAATAAGAGAAATGATGATTATCATTAATAGCATTAGTGATGTTTTTGGTCGACGAGGCAAGTGAGTTCCGTGTTTCATTTGACGATTCTTGTCATTTCAATTGTCAATACATAGTTAATTTGGTATCACGCGGCATGAATTCTTCTCACATGTTTCTATAGAAATAGCGTTTCAGAGCTCTCAGATTTTCAAATGGATTGGTCGCACTAATGTGGTACGGCCACTGAGCTTTACTATATTACTGGAGGAGGTGCTCCTATCTCTCTTCAGTCAAAAAAGTGTCGCCAAAAACATGGCGGACTTTCACGTTTGCTGACGCCAGAATGACGCCACTGGTCCCAAATCCTCATGGTAATGATCACTGAGCAAGGCTCATTTTGAGCCCGCTACCACTTTCACATCCCCCCGATTTTCGCAAAAATATTTCAGCTTTTTGTTTTGGAGTTTGCCTTCTCTTCGACATTTTAACATTTGTTTCGAGTTGTACAAGTGGCAAGAATCATCCTGCCTATTGAAAGACAGGGAATGAATATTCAAACCTCAAGAAATCTTGGAAAGACGTTATTTGTAAAAAGGTAAAAATATATTGTTTATATGACATATGTTCAATATTAATTTGTGATTGAGTACTGTCAGTACTAGGTCAAAACAAAGCGAAATAAACAGCCTATTTGCAGTGTTGTAACGAATCGAGTCATTGACTCTGACTCGAGTCAACTCGAGTCGCTATTTTCAGCGACTCGAGTCCTATACGAAAAATGACTCGACTCGAGTCAACAGCCCCAAATGACTCGAGTCGGACTCGACTTGCTGATTTTGCCGTAAATGACTCAAGTCAACTCATCTACAACTTGTACAGAGTCAATTCATCACAATTATTGTGATTGTATTGCTTGGGAAGAACAATGAGCCCTGCATGTACACAATGATAACTTTGAAACTTTATCAGAAAATATATGGGATTTGCATAGAATATATTCCTGACGGGCATACCTATATTACATTTCTGTTTTTAGCTACAAACAACGCTAGTGCCACAGTTTTTTAAAATTAAGTCTCAAAATGTTTTGTACTTATACTAATTCTGACAGGCTATTTTCATTTTTGGTATTTATGAAGGGCTATATAATTTCAAATCAACTTACAAAGCGTTGTTAATTAAAGTCTAT